TGAGAATGGACCACCATAGCCAGGTTATTCCTATCCAGGAATGTTCACGGCTGACAAACTAGTCAAAGGTGGGAAAAGGCACTTCTGACCACAAAGTTCACCTGCAGTGATACAGCTGGATCCAAGAGGCTCCTCCAACTATGCACCTGTGCTTTCAATGGAAATGCAACCCTACTGGCATCAGGGTGCACAGCCCGTTCCAAGCAACAGCACCTACCCACATGACCTCCACCTTTTCACGTTTCAGCTGGCTGGCCCCCATCCAGCTCATCATTGCACCCAGACACTCGCACAGCTCACCTGATTCAGAGAAAAAGGTAAAATACAGCAGCAAGTCAGCATGACACCTGACCTCCAGTCCACTGATAGCCTTCCACCACACTGATGTAAAAGGCACAGGAGATAAGATGGAGCTTTGCTGTACCCCACACCACAGTTGCCATTAGGTCAAGCAGCACCACTATGATGCTATAATGATGGAGGTATGGGAATACTGCAGGGGTCTCAAACTCAGCTTACCTGGGGGCCACTGGAAGTAGAGTCTGGGTGAGGCTGGGCCGCATCAAGTATTCCACCCCCGTGGTGGTGGTGGGCCGCTTGTCCCGCGTCGCTCCCAGAGGTGCTTTGAAGGCCGCAGGGCCCCTCCCCCGGGCCCCACCTGTCCCGGCAATTGGCCCACAGGCCGCGAGTTTGAGACCCCTGGAATACTGCTAGCTACTCGGAGGGGGAGGGCTAGATGGAGATCATGGTGTAAGAAAAGGATGTTTTTGAAAGCCTCCTCACTGTTTGCTTGATGCCCTCTCCAATACTATTTGGCAGTATGTTTACACTAATGGGTCAAATAAAAGCTTGGAATGGAAGTTACTGACGATACAGATTATTCATGCATTTATTTCTTTGATTTGTATCCTCCCTTTCTATCTATCTTCTTCTATCTACCTACCCTAAGTGGCACTCAAGGTGGCTTTCAGTCTTATATAACATTTGATTAAAACAGTAACAACAGTAAAACAAATGCATTAAAGCATAATTAAAACACAACAATAACAGGACAAAAATAACATCTCTCCTCCTCCTCACCTACCCCCCATTTTTTCTTTATTATTGGTTTCCTGCCATTTTTGCTAGATATCATGTTATCTAACAGCTAACCCAGCACCCCAAATGGTGCCAAAATGAAGCCACTAAGAAACCAGAAAGAGGCATTAGCATTGCCAGTAAAACCCTGGGGTTTGCAGAAGTACAAAACTATCTTTTGAAAAACAAGCACCACCAACCAGCCCAAAACAACAGAATGAAAACTAAGCATACTGAGTGGTTACCTGGAATTACAAAATGTTCAGCGTTAAGTCGGAAAGAAAAATTGGGGCGTAAATTCACCCATCTGAGCCCTTAGAGCTTATCCTACAGGAAGACATGGCTGGCCAGCTGAAATGCTCTCCTGTCAAGGAATGAAGCCATAATGCAGGGAAGAGGAACTTTTTTTGTTGGGAGGTTGAAGTGCTGATGTAATTGCTATGCCCCATTTTAGCTTCCTCTGTGCTGAGGGAGATATGAAGGCACCAGGAGGAGCAGCCCGGTGCCAGCTGTGCCCTGGCTTTGAGTGCCATCCCTACAGGGCTGGTGCTGAGACGGGTGGCTGCAGCAGGGGAAGCAGCTTGCTGGAGAATGCCCACTCTTATGTCCAGTCAGAGCATAGATAATGGAGGGTTTCCTCGAGGTGCTGGGGCCTTAGGCCAAGTCCCACTGGCTAAAGGAATCCAAAGAGGCTCTGAGGGACGCCTCAGAAACCTGGATTGGGCCCATGGGATGTCCCATCTTTGCAATACTGGAGCACGTTCTTTCACAGCTCCCTTGCCACTCCTTCATCTTCTTAGCCTATTCCCATTCATTTTCATCTCCTCACTGCACCTCCTTTGGCCGTGTCATTCTGCACTTAACAAAGCCTTTCTTTTTCATAGTCTTCTCATTATTTAATTGCACATTCACCCTAAAACTTGTGTTTCTCCTTGAGATTCGATGACTCCTGCTGATCTTGTTTTCACCATCAATTTCTTTTTGGAGCATCACATGGGCTCTCAGAATATCTCTTTCAATAATCTGTACCTATTTCAGATACCCACTTCCTTCTGGTCTTTGTTCAATATTCCTCTTTCTGACTTAATCTTTCTATCTTTTCTTGAAACTATTGCTTTTGCTCTTTGATGGGTGTCTTTATTTCTCATAATGATAAAACATTCATTTTCCTTTTGGTTTATTTAATAATCATTTCCTTGTTCAGAACACCAATGTCTTACTCCTGCTTTATTTTTCCCTTTTTCTTGCCCCTGTCATTTCCCTTTTTTCTACCTTCCATCACACAGTCTCAATGCTGTTTTTTTCTTCACGCATTTCCTCCACTCAGTTGATCCAAACTTTTGATTATGCATCTCTCTTCTATATCCTCTATTATTTGGGATTGTTTCTCCCTCTTTCAGTCTCCATTGTCCTTCCTCATCTTTTCCTTTCTTGTTAGTCCTATTAATTTATTTTTGAACTAGGTTATTGTGTTTCTATCAACCATTTCAAGCTGTTTTTCTGCTCTGTTGCTCATGTTATATGCACTACTTATCCATGGATGTTACCAAAGCATCTGAAGGTCAAACTTTCTGAGACAGTTTGTTTCCCCCACCTCAGCTCTGCCTTTCTTATACTTGTCTTTCATCTGGCATAATGCTGCTATTTTTTCACCCATCAGGGCATATAACCTACGTGTAAACTTTCAATTCTTGTCTTAATTTTTCTGTTCAGTTCAGTCTGTCTTTCAAACTTCCTGTTTTCCTCTTTGGAATATTATCAAAATTGGGCTAAATCCTTGTTTCATTTTTCTTCCATTATGTCTTCTTACTGTTCTGGCAATATTCTTCTCCTTGGGCCTCTTTATTCATACCTTTTGCCTTTTGTTTCAGTCCTTAATCCAGTTGCTCAACATACTCAAATGCTTTTCATTCCAGCCACATCGGTCCTCTTTTTGGTTCTCTTCACTGGCTCTTATTTCTCTTTCATCTTCACTAGAAACTCCACAGCCTCTGCCTCAAAGTGCTTCTGCATGCTCTTGCTCCACACTCCTCCCATATCTCCACTTTTATTCCACATCTCCATCCTATTTTTCTTGGTACCCTCTATCAGTGGACCATCAGTGAATTTGTTGGTAATGGTTTTTATGCAAAGAAGAACTCCGCAAAGTCTGCCCAAGCACAGTTAACTGGGTAGACATTGTCATTTTTATTGAAATAAATAGAACTTTGCAATTGAAGAATCACGTTCAGCAATAGCATCTTCTACCAAATGGTTCCTTTTCTACATGCAACATCTGAAGAGAACTTCAGAACTAATCAATTACTAGTTTGCCATAAGCCACACTTAAAAAGTGAGTTGTAATTTTGAGGAATTAAAGTGTGAATTGCAATTTTGCCATTTTGAACCCTTGCATACTTATTAATTATAGCCATCTGGCAGCAAATCTTTCAGGCTGTAATTTTGAAACAAATCCTTAGTGTATCAACAATCAGATATCAATGATTCATAGCCCAATCCTACATGAGCTTCGAAGATGCCAGTGGGTCTTACTCCAAAGTAAGGACACACAAGATTGTAGCCACCACACTCTATGCACTATGCAAAGGCAAGACCTACTGAGTGGGATGGGCTTGCGACATACAGCATGCTATTTGGGAAGATACCAAATCCTTCCCCATGCAGGGGGTGCAAAGGAAGGGATGGCTGGGAAAGTTCTTGTGTGTACATGCCACACCCCTCCCTGTGGAAGTTCTTTGTATCCAAGCTGGAGTGACTACGTGCAGAAGGACAAAGTTAAATTGGCTGTCATCCTCCCTCTTCAGCAGTATATAGCATGAGCAATATCCAACTCTCCACTAGTGCTAACAAATTACACTGCACTAACCCAAGTGACCTCTAGTGCACTACTAATACTGTTAGCTGGTGTGATGGGTTTTCCAGGGAAGCTAGATATACAATGCAACTTACATTAGTGCAAGAGTCAACATTGATATCAACCCATTCTACCAAAATTCTCTGTGTTCTTTTTAGGGCAGATTTTTAAAAAGACTATTATCCAAATTCTTGTAAAAGGTTCTTCATAATTCTATATCCTTGATAAAATGGGGATAATGAGGAAACTTTACAGAAAAACAAGTATTCTGACATAATGCCATGGCATTACAAATGGGTCTGAAGTTCATAATACATCTGTTTTTGACAAAAGGGGAGGCAAAACAGTAAAATAGCTAGGAAAAAGTGAACAAACCAATTTACATAAATGCACAGCTGAAAATTAGCAAGTGTGAGCAAATGGATTTGCTTTGTGACTAAACAAGAGAGACTCTCATGTGCCTTAGGACAAACATATGCAACATGGTATGTGGGAATATGTATTCAAACAGACTGTATGCCAAACCTTGATTAAATAAATTATTATGTTTCTATATATAGCTAGCTGTAAGTGTTTTACAAAATGATGAGTTACACACAGCCTTAAATGAAATCCTGAATCCAAGCATCTTTTTTGGGTTTATAGCTTCCCATTTTGCCAGTGGTCAGCAATATATCCCCATATTTTCCTCATAGATACGTAATTTTGTCCACAAGGTGAATGCTTGCTGAAAAATGCTTTCAAGTTTCAACGATCAACCAGAACATAACTGAACGTTAACTCACACACAGACATGTCTGCTCTATCGTCAGGATTTATTGTGAATTCTGAATTTAGGGTTCTTTGGAGAAGCTGTGGGAGGAGGGCAAAGGGAGCCATATAAGATAACCCCGCATGGTTATACTGAAGAAAGCATGTCAAGGTAAGAAACTCTCCTTTCATCATTCTGAAGCTTAAAAGAGACTCACAAGCAATTTGCAAATAAAATCCCCTCAGAATGAATTATGAAAGTTCCCAAGGAAAAGACTAGAACCGTCCTGGCTCTTTCAGGCTGTAATGTGGCCGTTACCTTTAAACTCTTCCCAGCTAGAAGCAGAACGTGACGGGCCAGCTGACAAGCCTGACGAAGCCCTTGAATCTGATCTTCGTTTTTAATTTCTATGTAGTCTTCCCAGTCGGGTACAATGCCTGTCGTCACGTAGTCTGGCTTCTTTATGTGCTTGGAGAGAAAAAGGATTGAAAATTAAGATCAGAAAACAGAGCATGACAATGGGATCATTTTCTCAGATAGAGCCTCCTGCTTCATGGCAGCTTGCCCTTTCAGTCGTCGTAGCGACCTTCCTAAGCCATCAGGGCAACCCCTCAAGGCTGCCTCCGTATTTCTCCCACTGCCCTTTTGAACTTAACATTGCCTGTTACCAGCAACTGAGGGTCTGTTAAACTCACAGCACTGAAATTCAAGATACCACAGCAGTTTGGCACTCTGAGGCTTAAAAGCGCCTCAGAACACCACACTAATTTCTGCTTGGCCTCCTCCTTAAAAAAGGCTATTTTTGGACAAAAGCTGCTGAAATTTGTTTGATTCTCAATGGATGTATAGCTTAAAAAGGAGAAATCCTGACATGTTTACTTAATCACATGGAAACAGATGGGAATTCTGCTGGAACGACGAGGAATTATACCAATGAATTTAGCAGATTGCTTTGTTTATCCACATCAGTGTATTTCATACCCGGACAGATACACACGCACACGCACACATGCACGTGCTCATGATCCAACTACTAGCACCTCTAAAATGACAGAAGCCAGGCCTCCCACCTGCCTGGATGTTACACCACAGCGCTCAAGTAACAGGGAGACCAGAGGGCCGCCTCCTTACCCTTTGTGAAGGCTTTCTACACTAATGCTTTTACAAGGCTACAGAGGGGGTACATGATTTGTCTAAAACCAGAAGGAACCAGTGGGGCAAATCTTGTGGTCTTCTTTAAGTTGACCCCACCTCAAACATATACACAATCCTTTCCCTCATAAAAGAAACAGTGTTGCACCACTTGCTCTTAGAAAACCATTGCTGCTAATACTCAGGTGTATGATGAGAAGGCTGGGTAGGGTTATTCTGTTGTGAAAACCACACTGTGCTCAACCTTTCCATCTTTATTATCATTTCCTCACTAGAATAGTATTGCCTCATGGGCAGGGAAAGGCCTTGTGGGTAGGGCCCTGTGTAATTCAGGGCTCTGAAGGAGATGCAACACACCTCTGACTACGAACAGAGACACACTGCAACATGCATACTTTGGAGCTTTTCGAATGAAGGCAGTGTCGGGGCAGGAGCAGCCCTTCTTTCCTCAGCCATGTTTCTAAATGCAGCACACTGCTGCCTTCTCTTTCTCCCTGGCTGACAGCAGGATGCCTGCATCTGTGAGACGCTCTAAGAGCAACCAAGTTGTGGCATAGAGAGTAGGTGCCAAACTGGATGCTTCTATATGAAGATATTTGAGAGTTGGTGATTTTCTCCTTGTAGGGGCACAGTCCTATGGGTTGTGTCTTGACATGCAGAGGCCCTGAATTCAGATGTTTACAATCACCCTGTGCAAGGCAGAAGGAGCACTGGGGCAATTTTGCCTACCCTCCTCCTGCCCTGCCCTTTTCAGTAATTTTTTACCCAACTAATGAAGGCATTGCAGTTGGTGCTTTAGGACCCTTCCCCACCCACCATCCTCCCTCCCTCATTTGTGTTTGAGTTCTCAGCATAGGTGGCTCTTTCTGCACCAGCTGCAAGGTGGAGGGAAAGCAAACCTCCAACTCCCTCACTGGCGGTCAGGGTGCTGTCTCTGATCTCCAGTGGGAATCCAAACCATCCTTTGGGCCATCAGATGCTGCCCAGGTGCCACTGGATTGCCCCCTTAGATGCTTTAATTTTCTTCAAAGGAATGGTGGATACATAGATGGATGAATAAATAAAATAGGTTTGGATCCTGGCACCAGATCCCAGGACTGAGCTAGCCCTTTTGTCAAATTTTGCCTTTGACTGAGGTATGAAATTTTGCTTCTCTTTGCTCTGTTTATCTGAAGCTACCAGTACCTTTACTGAAATACATGTTCTCTTTTTCCATTCTGCTGCAGTCTGGTTGTATAGTTTTACCTGCCTTTGGACAGAGAATGTGACTAGTTCTTATTGTGGTGATAAACCAGTGTGACTGGACTGTTCCACTGCAGGTGGAGACTCATATAACAGAATGCCCCTTCCTACCAAAATGGAAAAAAAAATCCTACAAAGAAAATTGGCAAGTCAGAATAAAGGCTAGGCTAGAACTTAGCACCCGGACATGCCAGTTTTGCATGTTAAAGGAGATGCTGTTTCTTTTGGTTTTGTATTTTGTTTGGAAGGCTGTACAATTCCCCACATGCAGCCTGAAGTAAATGCAAGTTCACATATAAATAAAACTAGGCCAGAATAAGGAAACATGGGTGCTTTGGAACACAGCATAACGGCAAGTTAAATTTTACACTGTATTTTTAGTGAGGATGCCTCAGATGCCTCACTATTCCCTATCTGTCTTCTGATCTCAAAGCCAAAAGGCAAAAAAGCACCAAACAGGCAGGCACCTCAGCACTGCACTAGTGTTAGCTGGCAAGGAATGAGTCAAATCGGAGCCTAATCACTATTTTTAGAGAACAAATTCATCCACAGCAGTGCAGATTATTCTGAATAAAAATCTGACCACCTGGATTCCACAGTCTATGCAAATCAATTTTCAGTTTAAACTTTTGCTACCGCATTTGTCCTGAGCAGAATACCCATGTATACATGAATACCAGTGCCAGTGCTATCACTTGCATCTGAGAATTTGGAAAGTATCAAAGCTGACCGTTGTATCCAATATTATTTATAACTTAAATCCTATTCATTTCGATGGATCTATTTTATCTAGGACTAAAATTGGATGCAATCCACAAAGCTCACCTACAATTCTCAATCATAGGATCATTGCTGTCCTTGGACAAAGCACTCACTTTGCTTGAACAACTCATCTATAAAATGGGAACTGGAGACTCCTACATCATAGAATAGTTAGAAAAATATACTAGAATGCAGCTTTGCAAATAAAATAGTGCTTTATAAATGAAAATTCTACATTTCTTGCTCTAACTCAATTAAATGTTACCCATTTCCACATAATTTGGTTCAACTTTGTGAGGTAGCCCAGTCTTTAATTTAAAAACATTTGTTTTTAATGGTGCCAACTGGAAAGTTGCAGTCCTCTATAAACTTATATTGACATATATCACAATAATATTAATCATATTTATTATTTATAAATGAGAACAGGCCCTTCAACTTAGTGGAACTAAGTTAACTGAATCTTTAGAAGATCAGGCTGTATGGCTCCACTCTTAAACTAAGTTAAATGAACCCAGTTTAAGGAAAAGCATGTCTAAAGCAATATACATAATCACAACAATTAAACAGCCCAAGCTAGTGCTTTCAATGAATCCCCAAAAACAAAATGACAGTATCAATACACACTTTTTGAATGAGGGGTAAAATATACTTTTTGAACTTGCAAAAGACTACTTCTAACCTGTAACAGGAAGGCTTACTTGATAAAGTACACAGTGCAGGGCAGCTGATAGACGTATTAATATGCATTTCATTTTAGTTGGGAACAATTCAGCAATACTGGAGTTGCACTGAAATGTTTTTAAGCTTGCTGTGTTAAAAATGTACACTGTAAGAACTATGATTTTTGCTCAAGTGTGGTCAATTCCTATTGACTTGACTTATAACCAATTGCACAATAACTTTCTTTTTATAAACAAGAGATTTTTATAAAAAAAATCACATTTGGGTCACAGCAGCTGAAGGAGCATCAGATTTAAACTGGCTGAGAAATTGATTTGGCGCTCTCTTTAGCATAGCAGGGAGCAGAAAACTTTGCACACCAGTATTCCAATATCAAATCCCAGGTCTTGGTAACAAAACCATGATTCAAACTCCCAGCTGTTGGGGATGAATATACTTGATCACTCGCTGTCAACCTTTATATTGACTGAAGAAAGGATCAGATAATAGAAATTGCAGTACCTTTGGAACTGGATGAGCTGCAGAAACCATAGCTGGTCTGACTATGCTATAAGGAGCATTGCTTTGTCTCTGAAAAAAGAGGTGCCTTCTTTGATGAATGCTTGACTGCTTGGGTAAGTAGATACAATCAACTGATGAAGAGTAAAGTAGCTGATGGCCAGTAATACAACCTGTGAATTGAGATACAGATATAATCTCTACATAAAAGTAATGGTTAAATGACCTTTTATTACTACATTACTAAGTTGTAATAACATTAAAATATGAACAAAAACTGGCTTACAAAAAGTTCTGCTATGCTGTATCTTTACAAGCACAGCATATTTATAATCACAGATGGTACTGCTGGGAGCAACATCAGGATCTTTTAGTTTAGTTAAATATATTTAGCAAATTGACAAATATGGCTGAGAATGGATGAGCAGAAGGTAGGTCAGACAGGCGAGGGTTTCTGATTCCGATTGTCTAATAACAGCAACAATTAAATACCCCCCTTCGAAAAATAGGTTGCTGGAAAAAATGTTTTTTTGGGAAACGCAAAAATGGATTTTTGAGTGGAACAATGTAAGAACTTTGTTCTAGTACAGATAACAAATTCCTGGGTGGCACATGTGCTCAGAGGCACTTTGTTCTTTCAGTCTTACTTATGTCCACTTGTCTGATTCTCTATTTTGCAGCAGCTAAGGCTGCATCAATTGGTGGACCTCAGGGTTCTAGAAAAACAAAGTAGATCCTACAAACTAAAGTCTTCCTGCTCCTGCAGCAGAGAATAATGACTTAAATTAAGCCATATTAAATGACAGTCCATTAAATTATCGGGAGAAACCAAGATACAGGGACAATGCAAGGTACAGACGTACCTTGTTTGATTGTGCTTTGCTTTATTGAGCTTCACTGATATTGTGTTTTTTACAAGCTGAAGTTTGCGGCAGCCCTGCATAGAGGAAATCCATCGGCATCATTTTTCCAAGAGCATTTGCTCACTTCACATCTTTGTGCCACACTTTTGTAATTCTCACAATATTTTAAACTATTTAAATATTTTTATATTTGTTATGGTGATCAGTGATCTTTGATGTTACTTTCATTGCGGTTTCTGAACACTTTTCAGTAATTTGTTCCTATACCTTTATTTACCATGAATTTAAATAGCTGCATTAATCTCAGGTTCATTCATCTGTCACTCCGTGTACATTGTATAGAGTGAAATTACAATATTATAAAAAGGAACTCAGATAATGTACTGGATCCGGAGACAGATAAGCCACATTTCATCAAGCAACAAGACTTTCTTGGTTCCTTCCCAAGCAACCCTTTGTACCACTCCCTAAAATTCACTACAGAGGCTCATGGGCTCCTCTGGAGTGGTGTGCAATGGCACACAGGTGGCTGCAGGGAAGCAGGGAGATCGGGAGAATTAGCAGGCTTGCCTTAAGTGAACATACGTGATTTTCCACTCAACTCACTCAAGTCATCAGCGGATCCCAAATATTGTTTGTCTTACTCTAAAGATGCTAGAAGGTGGAGAAGAGAAAAACCAAAATCGAAAGCATGAGAAAGAGCTTGGTAAAGGAGTAACAAAGATGGTGCAAACCGAGTAATCTAAAGAGACTGAGCCCAACTGCAGGGGGCGCGGGGAAAGGTTGCCAGCATTCCAGACCACTGCCAGTGGCTTGGGCTGATGGGAACTGAAGACCAAAACATTTGCAGGTTACCAGGTTCGGGAAGACATCCAGAGGTGCCGATAAAGGAATGCATATACTGGCATTCTTTAATTTCCTTGAGTGTCTTTCCCTTCTAATTAATCATTTGGTCCGGTAGTCCACATCGCCATTAAGACTGAGAAGGGCCTAGGTCCTTTTCTGAGGGAGTACAACCCAATGAACTCAATGGGGCTTAATTCTGAATGAACATGTTTAGAACTGAGCTGCAAAACATTTGGATGGAGATACTGCGTTGAATTAATTAGGACTAATTTAGATTCCATTGATTTCTATGGGTCTGTTCCATGTATGACTAAATCTGGATTTGACCCATTTCATTTGAAAATATTAATGAATTTCATAGGACAGGTTATCTATTGCAGGGTCTAATTGTGAAAGCAGCTGTATATTCCAGCTTGTAAGAGTACCCTGGATTTCAGAGAGATACCCCATTATAGGGCTTACGAATTGATATATTGTATAGAGTTCCATCTGATCCTGCCGTTTATTGCATTTTTTGTCCCGTTCAGTGATTTGTTTAACATGTTTAAAATGTTAGTTTTAGGATATGTTAGGGAAAAACTTGGCTTTGTTTGTTTTCTTCAAGGACACTAGCTTTTGGGTTCTACTCATTTGTCTCTTACAAAATACACCCCTTGTAGCTAAGGCAGAGCCATTTCCCCTTCAGCATTTGTAAAATATTTAGCTTCTTTTATACTTCCCTCCTCATCTTATATTCCATAGAACATATGAAATACAGAAGCTTGCCTTCACCCATTTATTTTAATTAGAACAGTGGGACACTCTGTTCAAGAGCCCAAAAAATACAGAACAAAAGACCTGGCTGAATAGGAGCTGCCATTTGAAGAATTTCTGCAGCGTTCATAATGTTCTTTCCAGATTTTGACAAGTGGCAAGTAAGCGAAAATTGCTTAGATTTGTATAGCACCTCAAGGGATGACAGAGGCGCAACATATTACCAGCAACTTTCTCCTCCCCATTATCCCACAAGTATAGTATATGGGCTAAATGGGCAGGAATGGAAAGGGAGAGCTTAAATCTTCCTTGCAGAGGCAAGCAAGAGGACACCCTATGGTTATGAAGGGAAAGAGGGCTGCCGCCAATGTTATTTCAATAGATATGGGGCTTGCCTCCTACGTCTATAAAGATGTCTGCTAGGAACAGGAGCAACAGATGTATATGACAGAAAGTCCAACAGACTCATGAAGAAACGGTGCCTTGAACATGGCCAACAGTTCACAAATCCATCAGAAAGCCTGTTGGAGGTGCATACCATTTGACATCCACTCCACAAAAGCATGGAAGAGGCTTATTGGCCCCTGCTTGCAAAAGGCAAAATAAGGTGCAGCCTGGAGAAGAAAAACTTGCCATGTATGGCTCGGAGAACAGACTCCAAAAGAGACCTCAGAAGTGCCCCCCTTGGGCAGTTGAATAGGCACACTTTCCATAAAGGGGCATCCCTTGATGATCACACTCTATCAGGAGTCATAAATTTCAGTGGCACTACTACAGCACTCTTCTATGTAGACCACCGAGTTAGCCTTGTGGCTAATTACAAAGGGCATATGCAAAAAGTAGCTCGAAAAACAAGAAAGGCACCTTCCATTATGGCATCTTATAAGAACAACCTTCCCCCAACCCACACACAATTTACTGTCCTTATTGAAAAAATGTCTTTCTCGGGACCGTTGGGAGTGGTCCAGTCTCATAGTTTCCTGTACCAATTTCTGTGTACAAGTACTATAGATACTACTATTTCTCCATACACAATAGGCTATAAAAATTCTCTCATAACTGATCTGTAAGTTCAGTTAGGCAACCTATAGCCCCCCTCCCCCCGAGCTGGTTTGGCCTACGTCTTCCAGTACAGCCCACCATTTCCCCATACACTCCTGGTCCCTCAAGATCTGATTCTGTATCCTTGTCTTGCCAAACTTTCTCCAGTCTATTCTGTCAAGTCCGAGTTTAACATGTAAACAAGGGGGGGGGGGGTTTCACACAACATGCCAAGCCACCCTGTAAATAAGCCTGGGGAAGTGGGTTGCTAATGGAACAATCTGTAGTGCATCCAACAGGCAATGGGCAGGTTCACACAACATGCTATCCCACCTTGAAAATAAGACTGGAAGGGTGTCTATGGGGCAACACATGGTGCACTCAAGAGACAATGAGATTCACTGTGCGTTATTCTCCCCCTCTAGTCCTCCAGCTAGTATTGCAGTGTCCTTTGTGGCCAAACCTGCTTTGTCTCTCCCTCTTCACTCTGATTACTATTGCTCCTCACTTGTTACCATGCAGGGGTTTTTTTCAGAGCCTCAAAAATGCACATTTGAGGTCATATAAGCCCTGTTCCTTACCAGCTTCATTGGTTACCAAATAAGACCAGGTCAGCCTTAAGGTGCTTGCATTAATGTATAAAGCCCTAAACAGCTTAGGGCCTGAAGATCTAAAGGAATGTCCCCTCCCATACATATCTACCCGGATCCTAATATAATCTACGGAGGTCCTTCTCCAAAAGCCACCTTTAAAAGAAGGAGGGGGCCACAAGGGCGAGGGCCTGCTCAGCAGCTCCTCAAGGAGGCATGCCAGGTGCCAACCCTTTATACATTTCGGTACCAGGTTAAAACCTTTTTATTTTCCCACAATTTTATCTGTTAAATAGGAGCACTCAATTTTTATACTGGTTTTATTCACATTGTCATGGACCTGCTGTGGATTATTTGATATATTTTGGTATGTTGTTGTTGTTAATAATAATAATTGTTAATTAAATTTGAATGTTATTGTTGATGTCCCATTGATATCAGTTTATGTTACAGTGTGTTTTAAGTGGTTTTTATCGATTGTATACCATTTACAGAGCTTTTACTAAAGAACGGTATTTAAAAGCCATACATACATATGAAATACATATTGTGGTGACTGGCCCTAGACATTTGTGCAATGGTGTTTTTAATTTTGCTGCTGTGGGTGCTGGTCTTTTGGAGATGCACAAGTGAGCATTTATAGCTGTCCGATATAGTCTTGCCTTGGGTGATGTCCTTTTAAGTTTCTGCTGTCAAAGGGAGGCAAGCACAGTTGGTAACACAGATGGAAATTGACAAGACAAGACTACATATAGGCTAATCTTCATAGAGTTGCCAAGCTGTCAGCTGAAAATTGCAGATAAAATGGGAGGGAAGATAGGTACAACAAAAGGGGGTGGCAAAAGTATCTCCCCCTTAACAAGGTGATCCTCTTGATTTCAAGTGCCGAACTGACAATTTCCAGTGCTCTCCACATTTTCAGTACTTCCCTGGAGATACTAGCCAATACACATACTTTTTGCAGCTCCTTGCCATTGGAGTTACTACAGTTCCCTGTTGTGGTTATTATGTGCCATCAAGTCATCTCTGACTTACAGTGACCCCATGAATGAACACTCCAAAATGCCCTGCCCTTGACAG